CTAAATACCTTCTATGCTTTCCAAATACACACAGGAACATATACACTCAAAATATCACCAGGAGACTCATAGCATTCAGATTCATATCAAATCTTATACTCACTCAGGGTGGGGAGGTGGTTTTGAATCAATGACAATGGCCAAGTTAGCAGACCTTGGTGCCTGACTATATTTCCAGTCCAGAATGTTCTCTATATCAGGCTGATTACAAGTCTCTATAAATAACTAAGATTTTTCAACTGGGTCCGAACTGCTTTTCAGAGACAGAAAGTTACTAAATCACACATGTCAGAGATTAAACTTGGAGGAGAGTGCTAAAGAAAGCTCCATAAAACCTAATACATAAATCTAATTTGTCACTTTTCCCATTATCCTGACTAAATTCAGTACAATTACCACCTAATCTGTTTCAGGGAATTCTATTGCACAAAGGAAATAAAGGGCAGCAGCCAGAAGTTGGAGGGAAAGGAACCACCCGAATCCTGTATCAGTAAAACTCCAGCCACAAGTGGATTGCACTTTGCCTCTGAAATCCTTAAACATTTCAATTTGGTAAAAATAAAGAGGGTACAATAAATTCTGTGCTTTGAGAAGTTTGAGAGCACCACTTTCTAGGAGAAACACACATGCATACGAAGAATACATCTTGGCTAGAATAAAAGATAAATGTCAGACTCACAGATTTTTATAATTAATAAAAATTTGATGCTGTTTTGTTCCAAAATACAAATCTCTAATTATTCTTTTTTGTTCATTATAGAAAGCAGTCTGAGCTACTGAAAAGACTGGGCTGAGATGAAGAGATCTGAGTTTTAGTTCTAGTTCTATTACTATGAATAACTTTTTGGGTCTCTGTTTTCTCTTCTGTAAAACAGAAGATAGCTGCTTTACCAACTTCAGAAATATAAAGAAAGAAAAAATTCCATTGTGCTTCATTTTGTTTTGTGTATAACTGATGTCTTATAGTCTTAGGCTTTCTATATTTTTTACAGTGAGACTTAATACAGATGAGAGACTGTATCAGAATCTCCAGGGAGAATTTGTGCAATTTGAAAACAAAGTGCTTTTTCCCTTTGCTTTGCTCTGTTCTTAGTTCCAATATTTAGATTTTTATGAATTCTAATATAGGGCTTAAATTTTTTGCATTTATAAAAGGCAGGTGGTATGCTTTTGTTTTGTTTTGTTTTGAGACCGAGTCTCACTCTGTTGCCCAGGCTGGAGTGCAGTGGTGTGATCTCAGCTCACTGCAACCTCACTGCAACCTCTGCCTCCCGGGTTCAAGCAATTCTTCTGCTTCAGCCTCCTGAAGACTGGGACTACAGGTGCACGCCACCACACCCGGCTAATTTTTGTATTTCTAGTAGAGACAGAGTTTCACCATATTGGCCAGGCTGGTCTCGAATTCCTGACCTCATGATCCGCCAGCCTTGGCCTTCCAAAGTGCTGGGATTATAGGCATGAGCCACTGCGCCCAGCCTGTATGCATTTTTAAAAAATGAAATTCTTTGCCAGTATTAGCTCAAGCCCATTGGGCAATTGTCCTTTAACATAATTCTTCTTCCTTGATTAAAGTAATATCTTAAAATACAGAAGCTGGGTGAGGTACAAGGAGGGTTTATTAAAGTGTAGGTTTAGGCCAGGTGCGGTGATTCATGCCTGTAATCCCAGCACTTTGGGAGGCTAAGGCAGGTGGATCACCTAAGGTCAGGAGTTTGAGACCAACCTGACCAATATGGTGAGACCCCCATCTCTACTAAAAATACAAAATTAGCTGGGCATGGTGGTGAATGTCTGTAATCCCAGATATTGGGGAGGCTGAGACAGGAGAAGCACCGAAACCAGGAGGAAGAGTTCACAGTGAGCCGAGATCCCACCACCGCACTCCAGCCTGAGTAATAAGAGTGAAACTCTGTCTCAAAAAAAACCCCCAAAACCCTGTATGTTTAACACTTTCATGATAAAAAGTAAAGAAAGAAGGCCAGGCACAGTGGCTCATGCCTGTAATCCCAGCACTTCGGGAGGCCGAGGCGGGTGGATCACCTGAGGTCAGGAGTTCAGGACCAGCCTGACCAACATGGAGAAATCCCATCTCTACTAAAAATACAAACTTAGCCAGGCGTGGTACATGCCTGTAATCCTAGCTACTCGGGAGCCTGATGTAGGAGAATCGCTTGAACCCTGGAGGTGGAGGTTACGGTGAGCTGAGATCGCACCATTGCACTCTAGCCTGGGCAACAATAGCAAAACTCTGTCTCAAAAAAACAAAACAAAACAAAACAAAAGTAAAGACAGAGAAGACAAATAAGGTATCCGTGCAAATGTGACCCTCCTAATGAAGCCTACCCTGATCATCACTGTTTTTTTTTTCCTTTCTTTTTTTCCAGAGATGAGGTCTTGCTTTGTCACCCAGGGGGGAGTGCAGTGGCACAATCACAGCTCATGGCAGCCTCAAACTCCTGGGCTTAAGTGATCCTCCCACCTCGGCCTGCCAGGTTATGGGACAGGTTATAGGGGCACGCCACCATGCCCTGCTTGATCACTCTTTTAAACATTGTTCTTCTCTTAAGAAAACAAACAAAAGATTTACCTTACCATAATCTACACTTTTCCATCTTACTTAACATTTTCTAACATAAATTACTTTTCTTTATTGACTTACTCTTCCTACTAGAATGTAAGCTTCATGAACAAAAGGATTTTTAAGTCTATTTTGTTTGCTTCCCCAATGCCCAGAAGAAAATCTGGAGTATAATGGTTGTTTAATATGCATTGTTTTTTAAGCCATCAATTAAACAATAACATTTTCCAGCACAGTTTTTCTCTCTTTGAAGATTCAAGGTCACTTCAGTCCACTTTAGATTTTTAACCATCAGTAAGGAATTACACTATTAGCTTGAGGGGCAACATGATAAGGGTCAATGTTGTGAATTTTAAGACCCTTATTTTTAGACAAACATGTTTCTGATCATAAAAGCTCTAATTTCTTTAGGAGAGTTTCCCTCTGCAGCAGTTTCTAAAACAGTTAAGTGGGACCCAGATATTCTTGAACAAAATCTAGGTAAATATGACTTACAAAAGAAACTGTGTACACTACAAACAGGGTAAATAGTTATCCTGGTGGTTGGAGCAGAGAAATCAATACTTTTGGAAACAAGAGTCCAAATTACGGAATCATAGAGTTGGAAAAGACCTGGGCCAACCTCTTCATTTTACAGATGGGAGTGCTAACAAGCAGAGACATGAAGACGCTTGTCAAAGGGCCTAACACTAGTTACCAGGAAAGCCAGGACTAGAACTCAGGTCTCCTAGTTCTCAGACCAGTGTTCTTCATGCTTAACAGGGGAGGATAAAGCTCAGAACAGTAAATACTACTTTAAACATTAGAGGACAGGAAACCCTGTGTTGGTAGGAGCATAACTGGCATAGGACTTAAGGAGAATTGAAATAAGAGGTCAGAAAATAGAAGATAGTCTATTGCTGTAGTTCAATGAACACTGTTACTAAAGGAAAACTATGAAGTTAAGACACTGAAGAAAAGGGAAAGCAGTCTTTACCTGAAAATGAAAACAACCCACTAGCAAAGGAAATCTCTTTTCTCAAGCTTTCTGAAATACTGTTTGAAAGAACAAACAAAAATATTTTTAAAAAGTAAATAGGCCAGGTACAGTGGCTCACACCTGTAATCCTAGCACTTTGGGAGGTTGAGGCAGGAGGATCACTTGAGCCCAGGAGTTTGAGACTAGCCTGCTCAACAAAGTGACACCACATCTCTACAAAAAATTAAAAACTAAAGAAAATTAGCCAGGCACGGTGACGCATGACTGTAGTCCCAGCTACTTGGGAGGCTGAGGTGGGAGGATTGCCTGAGTTCAGGAGTTTAAGGCTGCAGTAAGCCATAATCATACCCGTGCACCCCAGCCTGGGCAACAGATCAAGACCCTATCTCTTAAAAAAAAAAAAGTATACAAAATACCCTCCAAGTCCCCAAACCCCAAAACAGCAACTTTGGACTTCAGATTTAAAACATCAGCAAATCAGAGCAGGAATGGGAATAACTTAGACCCAAATTAGTCTCTATGCCAGAAATGAAAACCAAGTTAAAAAGAATGGCCGGGCATGGCGGCTCATGCCTGTAATCCCAGCACTTTGGGAGGCCAAGGCAGGCAGATCAAGAGGTCAGGAGTTTGAGACCAGCCTGACCAACATGGTGAAACCCCATCTCTACTAAAAATACAAAAATTAGCCAGGGGTGGTGGCGGGTGCCTGTAATCCAAACTACTAGGGAGGCTGAGGCAGGAGAATTGCTTGAACCCAGGCGACAGAGGTTGCAGTGAGCCAAGATAGTGCCACTGCACTCCAGCCTGGGCAACAAGAGCAAGACTCCGTCTCAAAACAAACAAAAATTACAGTACAAAATTTACCTAGGGTCATGAGAAAGAGATACCAAAAGCAATCACCTCACTTCCCCTGGGACTGCCAGATGTGATCCTGTACAGAAAATCAGGTATAATGCCTTTCATTCACAGATTTCTGAAATTGAATGCTGGGTAATCAAAAAGGAGGAGGGGATATCCTAGCTAGTGACTGAAATTATAAAGGGAATGACAGGGAAGGAAAACACAAAAAAGAAAAATTCTTATAATATACACTGAGTCTTATTTAAGATAATAAAAATGTTGTGCATTAATATAAATACTAAATACAGGGAATGTTAATAAATCTTATTTCCAAATTGTCAATACAAAATCAACTTACATTTTAGGTTTCATAACACCCGTTAATCCTTACCAAAATTCAAAACATCTCTGACTTTGAAGTCTCATAAATTTGAAAGAGGTAAAAAATTAAAACTTTATACTCTATGCCACAGATATCAATCCAGTCTTTAAACGTGATCTCATAAACCAAGAGTTTAAATAGAATTCCTATTGGAGACATTGTATTATGAAACCAATGACATGTTTTTTTGGCTGAAATATTTCAAAGTTGTTTCCTTTTTCATTTCCAGCATTCAAAGACTACAAAAAAAAAAAATATGGAAGTAAATCTCCTAACACAATACTCATACATTCCAAGTAATATTTACCATCTCAAGTCCTCAATTAAGATCTAGCTTTCAAATGCAAATCAATCCAATTTCTGAAATTATGACAGTATTGAAAGAAATTAAATGATTTCAAAAACTGGCTTGATCATGTTTCAAAGAATCAAACATTTTTCTACCAGCTAAGTTGGAAAGAGAAAAAATATATGATGCAGGGACTCTGTTCTTGATTTTCAGTAGTCCATCGTGGCTAGCTTCATTATTATGAACCATTACATATTTCCAAATCCAGACATTTAACTTATCCAAGTATAAGAGTTGGATTTACCTCATTATACAAAAATAAATGGTTTACTCTTCTCAGGGTGAGAATAGTGACTATTTGAGTGTAGGATTAGATGTAGGAGGTAAATATGCATCCCTCAAAATCAAAAAATAAAAATTCCAAGATTGAGATTTTAAAAGACCTGAAAGGTTGCATTTTAAAACAGTTAGCTAAAAGTGTGAACGTTTTTTTTTCTTAGTTTTTTTTTTTAAAATGGTGGCCCTAAATTAAAAAAAATAAAAAGTAAGTAACACCACTATATGTCTGTTATCACATTAGAAAACTGCACCATTTAAAATTTGTGGAAAATGAAAATTTGTTTTGACAAGAGGGTTTTTGTTTTAATAGTCATCAATGGTATTCTCAAAGAACACGTTTCGAACATCCAGAATGGATGCTAATTCCAAAATGTGCTTCTGGAGATGAGGATTCTCCACTGTTTCATCCCTTGGCAGTTGTGGATATGATTCTGGATAATTTCGTGTTTCCTGGTAGGCAAAGAAGAGAAAAGTCAAGTTTTGTAGTCCAATGAAAGAAAATGATACACATAGATACAGTGTCGAGTAATATAATATGTATTTTCTCTTTTATATTGGAATAATTCTTATTAATATATTTGTTGAATATTGAATTGCTGATATTTAACCATTTTGACTTCTAAAAATGACAATTTCATATGGTTCAATGTAATATATTCATTTAATGAGTTATTCACAAATGTTTACTGAGGTCTATTGTTGCTAGGCACTACGATCTGTACCATGTGGAAACCGTATAATTCATGCTATTGGGGGTGAAAAATCCTAACACATATAGAATTTCAACAAGTATCCGTTAAACAAATAAAAAGATATTGCTTTGGAAATTAAAATGAGGCTGGGGTTGCTGGCCATGGTGGCTCACGCCTGTAATCCCAGCACTTTGGGAGGCAGAGGCAGAAGGGTTGCTTGAATTTAGGAGTTTGAGACCAGCCTGGGTTACACAGTGGACTCCCATCTCTATAAAAAAGTAAAAAATAAAAAAATAAGCTGGGTGTAGCGGCACCATGCCTGTGTTCCTAGCTACTTGGGAGACTAAAGCAGGGGGACTGCTTGAGCCCAGGAGGTCAAGGCTGCAGTAAGCTGTGATCATGTCACTATACTCTAGCCTGTACAACACAGCGAGACCCTGTCTTAAAAAAAGGAAGAAGAGGGAAAAGACATGAGAAGCATTGACAAGGTCAAATTAATGGGCCCTGGCAATTAATTATGGGATAGGGAGGTATCAAAAATGACTAAGATTCCAGGAATGCATGATGACTTGAGAGAAGACTGGGGAGCTTCTCAAAGAAAAGGTGAGGTAAAGGATGAGCTAATTTGGGGACAGTATAAGGCTTCAGGTTTTAGGTATATTTATTCGAGGCAAAATGATAATACCGACAGAACTGCCCCTCAACCAGAATTTGCAAATTCAGGGCAGTATCTCAGAAGACAAGTTGAGTGTACGTAAATACTGATAGAATCTTCATGGAGATAAAAACTGAAGCTATCAAAATGAATCAGATTCCTAAGAATATTAGCAAAGACAGTGAAAAGAGTTAAGGAGGGATAAAAAGGGTAGAGAAAAATCAGAAGAAAAAAGCAAGCATGGGAGGCTGAGGCAGGAGAATTACTTGATCCCAGGAGGTGGAGGTAACAGTGAGCTGAGATCACGCCACTGCACTCCAGCCTGGGCAACAGAGTGAGACTCTGTCTCAAAAAATAAAAAAGCAACCAGAAAAAATAATAAAAAAATTGATGTGGAAAAGTTTGACCTGGAAACAAAAGAAGACAATTTCAAGAATTGGGTAATTCTCTTTTAGAAATTCATTTTTTAAGACAGAGGCTCGCTCTGTCACCCAGGCTGGACTGCAATAGCATGATCTTGGCTTACTGTAGCCTCCACCTCCCAGGTTCAAGCAGTTCTCCTGCAATGGCCTCCTGAGTAGCTGGGATTACAGGGACCCAACACCACGCTGGCTAATTTTTTGTATTTTTAGAAGAGACGGGGTTTTGCCATGTTGGTCAGACTGGTCTTGAAGTCCTGACCTCAGGTGATCCGCCCACCCTGGCCTCCCAAAGTGCTGGGATTACAGGCGTGAGCTACCAGGCCCCACCTAGAAATTATTCTTCATTTGGTCAGTTCTATAAACTATAATCCTGCCATACATTTAAAATTTCCTAAAGAAGTTGCTTCTTTTCTATATATCTCATGCAACAATTCACACATGTAAATGTTAACTTCTCTCTTTTTGATACAGGACTCACTTATCTCACATTACAAAAATAAAAATTTTTTTGAGACAGAATCTCACTGTGTTGCCCAGGCTGGAGTGCACTGGCATGATCACAACTCACTGCAGCCTCGACCTCCTGGGTTCAAGTGGTCCTCCCATCTCAGGCTCCCAAGTAGCTGGCACAACAGGTATGCATAACCATGCCCAGCTAAATATTGTATTTTTTGTAGAAATAGGGTATTGCCATGTTGGCCATACTGATCTTAAACTCCTAAGCTCAACCAATCTACCCGCATCAGCCTCCCAAATCACTGGGATTGTAGGCACAAGCCACTGTACCCAGCCATGATTAGAGGTTTAAATACTACTATTTCAGAAATTGAAAGAGCAGACAGAAAATCAACAAGAATGCAGAAGATACAGAGAACACTCTTCAAATTAGTTTAGTATCAAACTGAACTAACTGACATTTTTATATAATTCCATCTAGTAATACCAGAACACACCGAATTCTTTTCAAGTGCAGATAAAACCACTGCCAAGAGAATTCATAGGCTGGGTCAAAAAAAAATCTGAATAAATTTTAAAACTGAAATTATACAGTGAAAGCAATGCTTAAAAGGTAAGTACTTCTATGCTCGGTAGTTACACAATCCTCCCACTGAAACATCATGGCAATCTCATGAGGTAGCTTTTGTTATCATTTTACAGATAAGTAAACTAGGCTAGGAGAGGTGAGATCACTCTTCAATGCCATACAGCTAGCGAGAGGCAAACTGTATTTCTTTGTAACAGTTTTATTAATACACAACTAACATACCATACAATTCACCCATTTAATGTGTACAATTCAGTGGCATTTATTATATCCAGAAAGTTGTTTAACTATCGCCACAACCAATTTTAGAGCACTTCATCACCCCCAGAAGAAGCCCTTTATTCTCTAGCAGATCCCTCCCCCATTTACCCCAGTCCCCTCCCTCAGCCCTGGATAATCCCTCATCTGCTTCTGATATCTACGAATTTGCTTATTCTGGACATTCCACATAAATAAGCCATATAATATGTGGTCAAAAATAAAAGGTGGCTGGTGCAGTGGCTCACACCTGTAATCCCAGAACACTGGGAGGCCAAAGCAGAAGGATCACCTGAGGTCCGGAATTTAAAACCAGCCTGGCCAACATAGTGAAACCCTATCTCTACTAAAAATACAAAAAATTAGCCAGGCATGGTGGTGTACACCTGTAGTCCCAGCTACTCAGGAGGCTGAGGCAGGAGAATCACTTGAGTCCAAGAGCCAGAAGTTGCCATGAGCCAAAACTGCGCCAATGCACTCCAGCCTAGGCAAGAGTGAAACTCAGTCTCAATAAATAAATAAATAAACATAAATGTATTAGAAGAGAAGAAAGGTTTGAGATCCAAGCTTAAAACACTAGAATTAATATAAATTAAAGTAAAAAGGAAACAATAATAAAGTATGAATGGAAATAAATTAAATAGAAAAGAGAAACAGCTACTCAGAAGATGGAGACGGGAGATCTCTTGAGCTGAGGATTTCCAGGCCAGCCTGGACAACAGAGCAGGACCCTATCTCAAAAATTTAAAATAAATAAGGCCGGGCGCAGTAGCCTGATTTATTTTTTAGTCTCTACTGAAAAATATAAAAATTAGCTGAGTGTGGTGGCAGGTGTCTGTAATCTCAGCTACTCAGGAGGCTGAGGCAGAAGAATCACTTGAATCCAGGAGGCAGAGGTTGCAGTGAGCTGAGATTGCGCCACTGCACTCCAGTCTGGGCAACAGAGCGAGACTCTGGCGAACACTAAAAAATCAGGAGACAACAGATGCTAAAGAGAATATGGAGAAATAGGAACACTTTAATCTGTTGGTGGGAATATAAATTAGTTCAACCATTGTAGAAGACGCTGTGGCGATTCCTCAAGGATCTAGAAATAGAAATACCATTTGACCCAGCAATCCCATTATTGAGTATATACCCAAAGGATTAATAAATCATGCTATTATAGACACATGCACATGTATGTTTATTGCAGCACTGTTCACAATAGCAAAGACTTGGAACCAACCCAAATGCCCAACAATGAGAGACTGGATAAAGAAAATGTGGCATATATACACCATGGAATACTATACAGCCATAAAAAAGGATGAGTTCATATTCTTTGCAGGGAGACAGATAAAACTGGAAACCATCATTCTCAGCAAACTGACACAAGAACAAAAAACCAAACACTGCATGTTCTTATTCATAAATGGGTGTTGAACAGTGAGAACATATGGACACAGGGAGGGGAACATCACATATTCAGAAAGCTGAAATTGGACCCCTTCCTTACACCTTATACAAAAATTAACTCCAGATGGATTAAAGATTTAAACATAAGACCTAATGCCATAAAAACCCTAGGAGAAAACCTAAGCAATACCATTCAGGACATAGGCATGGTCAAGGACTTCATGATTAAAACACCAAAACCCATGGCAACAAAAGTAAAAATAGACATATGCATATAGAAAATCTTAAGGAACATATAAGAAAGCTAAAAGAACTAACAAGTGCATTTAGCAAGACTGGCAGGATACAAGGTCAACTGTATTTACTTATTTTTTTGAGATAGGGTCTCTCATTGTCTCACCCAGGCTGGAGAGCAGTGGCATGATCACGGCTCACTGTAGCCTTGACCTCCCGGGCTCAAGTGATCCTATTATCTCAGCGTCCCAGGTAGCTGGGGCTCTGGGGACGTGCACCATACCCAGCTAATTTTTTGTACTTTCTGTAGACACGGGGTTTCACCATGTTGCCCAGCTGGTCTTGAACTCCTGGGCTCAAGTGATCTGCCTGCCTCAGCTTCCAAAAATGCCCAGCCAAATAACTCAATTTTTAAATCATAACAAAACATAAAATACTTTGGCATAAATTATAAGACACATGCAATACCTGTATGATAAAAACTACAAAATCCTAATGAAACAAACTAAATATTTAAGTAAATGAGGATATATACCATAATTATTGACTAAAAGATTCAATATTATTAAAATAGTAATTCCCCACAGGTGAATTATACATAGATTTTTAATGTAATTCCAAGCAAAATGTGACAAGGATGCTAAAATTCATACAGAAGTACAAAGGAATTAAAACAACCAAAACACTTAAAATATTTTGGGGAACAGTACTCTCCCTATCAGATTTTAAGACTTTTTTTTGAGACA